TTCTCACAGTTCTGGAGGTTGGAAGTGCAAGATCAAGGGTTGGTCTCTCCCGAGGGCTCTCTTCTTGGCTGTGTCCTCCAACATGACCTTCTCCCTGCACACATCTCGGATGTCTCCCAAGACACTAGTCAGACTGGATTAGGGCCCCACCCCTACGACCTCATTTTACCTTAAACACCTCTCCCATGGCCCTAGCTCCAGCTAGAGTCACTTTGGGGGCAAGGACTTCAATATATGAAATTATTTTCCAGGGCAAGCGGGTACAATTGAGTCCACAACAACTATTAGACACGTGAATCGTGGCTGGTCCAAATTAATACGTGCTCCCAAGTATGGAATACACCACGGGTTTTCTTTTCTTTGTTCTTTCCTTTTTATTTATTTATCTATTTTGGTACTGGAGATTGAACCCGGGGACGCTTAACCGCTGAGCCCCATCCCCAGCTCTTTATCATATTTTCTTTAGAGACAGGGTCTCTCTGAGTGGCTTAGGGGCTTTGCCGAGTTGCTGAGGCTGGCTTTGAACTCATGATCCTCCCGCCTCAGACTCCCGAGCCGCTGGGGTTACAGGCGTGCACCACAGCACCCTGCTACACCATGGGCTTTCTATCATTTCTTATTTTTCAAACATTTCATCCCTTTTTATCATGTACCAGAAACAGAATGAAAAAACATCTCATTCAATACCTTTTTATATTGATCACATGTTGAATCATAATATTTTGGACATTTCAGGTTAAATAAAATTTAGTATTAGAATTGCTTCCACCTGATTTTTTTTAAAAAACCCTTTTGAGTGTGACGGGTCAAAAACTCAAAATGACATACATGGCTCACACTCTGTTTCCACTGGACGGTGACTGTCCAGGGACATTTGAAGAGCTGATAGAGCCTCCCTTCTTGCAGTCAGAGGGAACGTCACTTTCTGGGATCCTCTCTGTAACCCTATCCCCTGATCCGTTTCACCCCCTTCCTTCTCCCTGCCCCCCCCCATGTCCCTTCTTGGGCTGAATCAGTTCCGCCACAGGAAGGTGGAGATGGAACTCGCAGATGATGGGGGTGATGGAGGGAAGGGCTCCCTGTGCTCCTCGCTCTGGTCCAGCTCGAGTGGGAGATAACTAGGAGGCGCTGACCTTCCCCGTGGCCTATGTCACCAGTCCTAGCGCACCTCACGGTGCTGAGTGCCAAGTCTCCAGCTCCTACTCTGCCTGGAATGGCTGGGCCAAAAGCCCCATTTGGTGATCCCACTTTGGAATGTTCCGGCTCTCAGGAAAGAGTTACACTCCCATCTTGCCACTTGGAGATGAATGACCTATTTTCCTGGATCTCTTTTGCTTACGCGGCCAGGGAGGGAGGGAATGAGGGGCGAGCTGGAGAAGGGAGCCTAGAGACACAGGAAGGGTCCCACTCGAGTCTCGCAACGACCTATTTTATTTTCATTTTGCAGACAGGGAAACGGGCAGGTGAGATAACTCCTCCAGTGTCACCAACTGGCAGGTGGCAGGGTCGGTGACGGATGCCGAGTCCATCTGACTCTCTGCTGCACCAAGGGAAGATTTCTGGAGCACGTGAGGACTCTCTTGAGCTGCATTCCCATCCGGATGGAGAGCAGAGGGGGCTCTGGGCAGGAGACTGACCAAGGGAGGCTGTAGAGGCACATCTAGTGCAGATGCTCCCTGAAGGGCACAGTGGGTCAGGGCTCCTGTCCTCTGCTGCTGACTGCTGACCCTCCTGTCAATCTTCTGCTGACCATTGAGGAATGAGGGGACACTGGGATCTGGCAAGGACTCACCGGCACCTCCCTCTGACAGCGGTCAGGCAGACATGAGTGGTGGGAACAGACCACGAGGTTTAGGGAATAATTCTATGAAATAGGCCCACGGTGCCGACCCCCCATGCTGACCCCTGTATTTCCAAGAAAGCAATTTTCCTGCAGCCCTGCCTGGCTTCCGTGAACGGGATACGTCCCACTCTTCGTCAAGCTACCTGTTATCTGCAGGAGACACCCAGGCCCCAAGTGACATCGATATTCGAAAAACCCAAGTTACCCCGAAGCGGGAGACCTTGGTGACCCTTTTCAAGACCAGATCCTGGAACTCGGGAAGGTAAGGATGATTTCTCCCACCCATAAACTCTGCGAGAGTGTATGGTGAGGGATCCGACGGGAACTGGTCACCGAGGGCCAAGGGGACCTAGAGTTGTCATGGTGGTGGGGACTTGAAAGTCTGATGTCATCCTGCTGTCAGTCAAAAGTCAAGAGGTGGACCTGGGCGGGACTCTCTGGAAACTGATCCCCAATAAAACTAGGGTGTAGGAGGGGCACGTTGTCCCTCTGCTGCCTGAGAGGACCCACTCTCTCCCCTGAGTGTCCCCTTTCCCTTTTGCTGTCCCTTCAATAAACTCGTGCCTGTCACTCTGAGCGACGTGTCTGAAGTCTTTCTGACTTGATCACAAGAGTCGGGGATAGAACGTGGGCGTCTTCATCCTGCCTCAGTTTCTTGGATGACCCCCTCCCCCTGTAACACTGTGAGGTCCCCTCCCACATTGCAGGACGTTTCTCTCTTCTCGTTTAAATAAATCCTACTGGGTTCACTCTCCCCTTTCGTTCTTGTCTGTGAATTTTAATCTTCAAATCCGTGAGACAAGAACCTGAAAGGAAATTGGCGAGGCCTGCAGCCTGCACGCACCCCCACCTGCCAGCAGAAGCAGGGAACCTAGTGTCACCTCAAAACTCAGGTTTCCCCTCCCCCACAGCAGGCTCCTCCTGACAGGCGGTCTGGGGGTCTTTCCTTACAGACTCACTCACCGGCTTCGCATGAGGTCCTTTTTGATGTTTATTATTTCCTTGTTCATGTACTTGATGTTCTTCATTGATTTGCCCGGAACCTGATGGGACAATAAGAAGTGAGAGAAAAGGGGGAGTTAATACAACTGATCCAAATGCAGCCGGGGACAGAGGCACAGCTGTTCCCCTGAGCTGTCTGTGTTCGTCAGCTCTCCTTTACTATAACAAACACTCTGAGATGATCAAACTAGAAAGAGAAAAGGTTTACTTTGGCTCATGGTCTTGGAGGTTCAGGTCCCAGATGGGTTGACCCCTCTGCTTTGGGCCTGCAGTGAGAAAGCTCCTCATAAAGGGTGCACGCGGTAGAGCAAATCTGCTCACCTCATTGCAGGAAGCAAAAAAACAGAGAAAGGAAAGAGCAGGGTGCCCACAATTCCCATTGAAGCCACGCCCCCAATGACCTAAAGACCTCTCACCAGGCTCCACCTCCTAAAGGCTCCATTCTCCCCAATACTGTCACCTGAGGACCAAGCCTTTAGCACACAAGTCTTCATCAGCCTTTGGGGAATGTTCCAGATCCAAACCACAGCAATGCCTGGCCAGACTGGATGGGTGCTGGGCAGCACAAAGTCTGTCTCTACGCCAAGAGGCCCCTTGAGGCACAGTGGACATAGAAAAGGCTTTGGACACAGTGGACGTAAGCTCTGATTTTGATTTTGCCCACTGACCAGTTATGTGAACTTGGGACAGATTACTCAACCTCTAGGGGCCTCGTTTTCTTCAGTAGAATGGGGGGGAATAATTTCTACCTCGTAGTAAGGATTCAATAAAATGCAAAATTCTGGACTCAACATAGCAAGTATTTGATAGTAAATGGAACTGACTTACCAGCCTTACACTTAGGGAAAAGCAAAGAATTGAACATTGAAAATAATTGTTGGTGTCGACTGGCAGCTAATTTAAAGAGATGAATCTGGTCGTTGAAAAGATGACAATGTACCTTCCCCCCTCTCTTTCCCCCATAGCAGGTTTTTACGAGTGAATTATCCACACATTGTTCAAGGACTTTTCTTTCCCTTTTCTCTATTCATTTGTCATAACTAAACATGGAGGAAACCTCACAATACAAAACTTTATCAATCCTAAGTTGATACCAGGTCGACAAAAAGAAATTAAAATTAACTATATTTTAATAAAATAATCACTCTTCTCAGATTCCAGTTTAGAGAAACGTGAACCAGAATATTATCTGGTTTATCCTGCCTTGAAATTAATTCCTACACATTGTTTTAAATTAAAATAAATACTAAGAAATTATGGGAAAATAGGGACTCAAATAAATCCAGTGGGGAATTGAATAAGTTGGGATAACTTTTTGGGAGGACCATTCACCTGTGCATACCCAATTATTCAGAAGTGAGCATGCCCTTAGATCTAACGTTCCCTGTCAAATGTCCTAAGAGGATATTCCTGAATGGCCACCAAGGTTCATCAACAAAATTGTTCATCATAATGCTGCTTGTAATAGCAAACTCTTGGAAACCACTTATACTGCAGAAGTAGACAGAAGACAGGTCAGATAGTTATGGTGCATCTGAACAACAGAATACATGCAGCAATTAAATGTAACGGTAACGCAACCATCGAGTGATGTTCGGGTTCTTGGAGTGAGAAGACCTGCTACCAAGTAATAGGTGTAGCATGGATCTGTTTTTCATTTTTTGAAAAAATGATCTATGTGGATATACATATACCAAAGATGTGAAAGGACACAGCCCACCCAAGGCGGCTCAGAGAAAGGGTGCAGAATCTATGGAATTTCCCCAGAGTATCTGCAACTGCAGCTACTACTTGTCTACTTCAGAAAAGTACATATGCTTCCTGACTTAATGATGGTTCAACTTAAGATTTCTCAACTTAAGCACGGTGCCAAAGAGTAATCCAGATAATTATTCTTGTTTCTTTCTTTCTTTCTTTTTTCAACTTTCAGTACAACAGCCCATAAATGACATGACTTGGTCAACATTGTACTGTAAAATAGTCTTTGTGCTAAATGATTTCACCCAACCAAAGGCCAACGTAAGCATCCTGAGCGTGTTTAAGGTAGGCTACTAAGATGTTTGGCAGGTGAGGTGCCTTAAATGTGCTTTTGATTGATGAGAGGTCAACGTATGATGAGTTTATCGGGATGTGACCCTGTGGTAAGTTGAGGAGCATCTGTATTTCGAAGCCCCAATGTATGTGGGATAGCCTCACATAAGCTCAATTAAATAATGAAACCATGAAATCATTTACAAAATTCAGCTCTTCAGCTGTTATTAGCAACGGATTGCAGGTAATGCAACTTGTCCATCCTAACACTCCAGAAAGTTCCAACCCCTTGGGCTGCAAGTGGACAGTGTTCATCCTGAGGGACAGGTGGGTAGAGTATCTGCAGAACTTCCTCAAACTTTCACGTGAAGGACATTCGCTGTTCTCAGACACTCAGAATCCCTTCTGCTCCATCTTGATACCCGTCTCCTGCCCAAGCTTTTTGCCCCCCTCGACTTGGCACTTGCATCTTAGAGAGTCACTGATGGCACCAGCAGCAGGGTTGGCCCTGAATGACTGAAGCCAGATAGCAATACAATGTCCTTCAGCAGTGACTGGTTCAGGACTGATCATGTGACCCAGTTGGAGCAAAGGAGATGCCAGCAGAGATTTCCCAGGGACTCCCTGGAACCACAATTCCTAGATCTTCCAGGAACCACAGGCAGAGATGTTCTCTTTCCTCACTTGACTATGAATGGGAAAGCAGACATGCCTTGGTAGTTACTGGCAGCTCTTTTGTGCCCATGAGGAGAGCCAACCACAGGCTAAGAAGATGAGGTGAAAGACACAGAAGAGAGTCATTCCTATTGGCTTGTTCAAATAATAAAGCTTCACTAGAACCTTGACTTTTCCTGAATGCTTCTTTTATTATTATTTACAATCGGTGTGAATTGGGTCATCTGTTACCTAAAACTGCAAGATTTCTATCTGAAATGTGTCCCTCCCTCCTTGGGAGTGCCAAGACAGGTGGAGACCAGGAACTATATTAAGGAGTCCTTCTTCACCTCCCTCCACCCCTGAGGAGAGATCAGAATCAGATGATCCTTGTTCTAGAACATTCCACCGTGAAAGCCATGGCATCGGCCATATCGAGACCAAAACATTTGGAACGGAGGTAGCCTTCCCTTGTAATCCTTCTTCCCTGCAGGACTAAAGTTAAAAGAGGCTGTGGACTAATCACACAGACCAACGTTCACTGTAAAGCAGTGTGCTGTGCTGCGCTGGTCGCAGCCTCTTCTTTGCGTCATTTTCTCTTGTGTTTGGTTGATGGTTTTGTCCACAGCCTTAAGAACAACAGGCTATCTCTCTCTGTCACACACACACACACACACAGCCTGGGTGTGTGGCACACTCTACCATCTCCATTAGGGTCAGGGAACCCTCTGGTGTTTGCACAACACCCCAATCACCCCATCCCCCTGCATGTCTGCAAACGTGGCCCCACCATTAAGCCATGCATGACCGGACACGCCCCCGGTGCCCCAATAATTCTACTTCTATCCAAGGAAATCACGTCGCCAGGATCAGGAGATCCTCCGGAGGCTGCCCACCACAGCAGTGTAAATCACGGAGAGAAGACACCTGGACGCCCAGCCACGGGCGCTGGGGCCAGGGGCGGGGGATAAATCATGGTCCGTCCCCACCACGGCCCCGAGAGCATCTGAGCTCGGCTGTTACCGCTTGGCATGGCTGTCCCTGTTTATTTATCGATGTGGAAAGACAGCAAAGGCATAAAACCTCAAGTGAAGATACATATGCTCTCCAGGGTCGAGGAATTACATCATGGAGAGCCCTGAGATCTATATTCCTGAGACCTCTGGGAACGCCTGGGAACTTCTGCCATCTCCGACAAAGGGGGCTCCACCACGGTGAGTGGGGGCACAGCGTGCAGGCAGCCATGGAATGAGCAGGAAGGGAGCACCACGCCTCATTAACAGGGATGCCACCATCATGGGACGTCGGAGTTATAAGTCATCAAATAATTATTTTTGGTTATTCTTTTCTTAATCTTTCTACAATTTACATATATTAATTCTAATAAGATAATAGTGGTTTTTTTTTTTTTTGGTGTGTGTTTGTACAGCAATTTTGACTCATTCTCTCAACGCAGGCAAAATAGAAGTGTTTAATGCGGATTTAAATGGAGTCTAAGAATCCGGGATTGAGACCTCAGTTAGTGGGTTTTTTAACACATGGGATGGGGCAGGGTCTGGGCAGGGAGTGGACGCTCAGGCCGGGCAGCCTAATAGAGGGGATTTAATACCAGGGAGCAGTTACCAAGGCATTGGAAGAGCTGGACAGCTGGGACCACCTTCAGGGCTGGAGGGACTCCAGGGTCGGGTTCCCTGGTGCAGGCTGGGCGGGCTCACAGGGGGACAGGGAGTTCAGCCGGATTTCCCGTTGCTCTGCAGCTGAACAGGAGAGCGCTAGAGATGTACCAGCTTCCTTTTCCTCCCACTCCCAATTTCCTGCTGGTCCCTCCTAGTGCCTGAACTTACTTGGAAGCCTCTGACAAGGTCACCCGGGGAACGGGCAGTTTGCAAGGACCCCAGTCCTCTGTGGGTGCAGGAAATGGAAACGAGAACCTACAAGCCAACAGAGAGGGGGGCCTCAGCCCCAGGCCACTTTGGGGCTATCAAACTGGTTCTTCCTTTCATTTGGTGAAGTCCCCCCTTCACCGATGGTAACTGGATGCTCCCAATCTTTTGATCCAGAGCCTGAGGTTCCACCGTTGATGTGCACATTCAGAGTTGTGATTATTCTGTCTCTCAAAATCATGATCAAAAACCCTGGTGTGAGTTGACTTTTCATTACTAGAACATATTATACCTGAGATAATCAAATTATAAAGATAAAAGGTTTGTCTCCTCTTAGACTCAAGACACTTCAGTCGATGACCCACTGGCCCATTGGATCTGGACCTGTGGTGAGGTGACACTTGATGGTGGAGGTGGTGGCAGGCGCTCAACTTGTTGGCAGAAAAGTGGAAGAGAGTTGGAGGAAGAGGGCA